TCCAGTCAAAATTGGCCAGAATGACTAAATTGACATAAAGACAAAAGGTTTAGGACTCAATTGGCACCAAAAAAAGGTTATGACTAAATTGGCATCAATACCAAAGGTTTATGACTTTTTTAACACTTTTCCCCTCATTTCTAGGTAAAATAAAACCTTCAGGCTGTTCCATATACACCTCATCTTCTAATTTTCTATTTTTTTGGGTCAATTTTAATTTGCCATTTAAAAAAGTTGTTTTAACATCCATTTAATACACATGCAATTTATATATTGATGCCAAAACTAATAGAACTCAAATTAATATTATTCAAGCAACTTGTGCATAAGTATCAAAATAATCAATTCCTTTTTTCTGCATAAAACCCTTTGCCACTAACCTTGCTTTAAAGGTTAGCAACGTACCTTTAGGTTGCGTTTGGTTATCTGGATTTCGAGCTAAGATATGACTAGATAGGATTGGATATGAAATCCAGGGGTGTTGCAATATCATATCCACTGTTTGGCGAGTCACATCAATAAAGCCAAGTACTTTTATATCCGATCATATCCATTGTTTGATATTAGTGTAAATAAACCTGAAAATGTACAAACGGTGATGGTAAAAATCTTTCACGATTTACTCCTAAAGAAACCATAAATGCAGAAACGAAGATAACCTTCATAAATCAATTCATGATTATTATACAATCTAAACTGAAGTAGCAAAAGAACTTATTGCAGCATTTTAGAGTTATAGGTTTGACATGAACCACAAAGATATAAAGGAAGAGAATTTTCAACTCTCTTGCTGCTTTTGTGAACCTTTAATATGAACAAGAGAGCCATAGAAGAAAAGAAGCTTTGACACTCTCGCCGTTATTGTAGAGCTTTGACGCGAACCAAAGAACTAAGGAGTTTTTTTTTTTTGGTCTGTCCTACTCTAACTCTCAATTCACTCTTAGACTTTTGTCCTGCCTCTTACAAGGCGTGGGAGTCGAAACCCACATCTGAAACTACACGTCCCCACCCTTAGCCCCTCCTAAGAAGGTGGGGATTCGAACTCCCCACCTCCCCCTTCCCAAGTAGGAAGGGTGGCCACTGTGACAAACCTCAATAGTTAAAGAACTAAGGAGTTGGTGAAGCTTCAACATGAATAAGAGATTTAGGGGAGAAGATATGGTTTTTTTAAGAAATTTCGTTACCCCTCATTCTTTGGGAATTAGAATCATCCTTTTCAAGTTTGAATTTTTTAATTTAAAATATGATTTCTTCTACTTCATTTGTATATACTTTTTTTCAATTATTTTTACCTCTTTTTTATTGTTTTATTTTTTATTCCCTTCAATCATTCCTTAATAAAATAAAAAATGAATTATACTAATATACCTAAAATATGTAATTAATATAAATACTAACTATATATAAGTTACATTATAGAATTAAAAAATTCAAATATACAAAAAAATGAATAAATAAAACGAAATTGTTACTTTTTTGTTATTTTGAATTTTCTTTTGTATATAAGAATACAAATATTATTTATATTTAATAATATTTTAATTTTATTAATTTAAGAAATTTGTTATATAAGAAATATAAGAAATCCTATCCATCTTATCCTAGTTCCTCCATGAGATATTTTTATCCATGATATATTTTTTTTTATATCCGACCTTATCTAGTCATGAGATATTACTTCAATCATAAGGATCAATTCGCAATCTGTCAATTGTGAGCACTTGATGCAGCCAATGTCTCCATCTTCATGTTATACTACTTCGAGATTGTTGAGAAAATTTGATTGCTGATGAAGACACGAGCAATAGTTTATAGTTCTTTAATGTTTTGATGTGTGATGATAATCGTTGTCCTTAAGGTATTACTTGCCCCCACTATTGTTATTGCCTGGTTTGAAGCAAATATACTTCCGAGATACACGCCAAATCCATAGAGAAACAAATTCTGCAATTACTCAATTTCCCTCATGGAATTTCACCATAAATTCGTTGTCAAATTTGTGTGAAAAAGGAGAAAAAGATACAATTATGAAGGAGAGAAAGTTGTTAAGAACAATGTGTGATTTTGTCCTTTTTATAGACAACCAAACAATACACTTCTTGGGAATAGGAACTTCATCGGAACCATCGCCGCTTTTCATAATCAACCATTATTCCTTTTCATATCAACAATTAATTTTTTTTGCATATTCAATAATCACTTCTTTTCCTTGCCTAATTTTCACAAAGTTTCGAGCTCATTTTGTTTAGTTGGACACTTAGCGGAAGTAAGCTAATCAAGATTTGAGAAACGAACTCAAGGAACTCTCGCGCCTTCCGTGTGTTTCGCGAATTCGATTCGGTGTTCCATCGTTTCCACGGTTGAATAGATATTCTGAAACGGAGTGAAACCAAGGAAGGGCCTTGTCTAGGTGCACTGAAATTCCCCAAGATTTCGGTTCAAATCAATCTTGCTGGTTTGGTGGGGGTAGAAAAATATTCCCTAAACACCAGTTTGCCAAAATTCTCTTGGAGGTCCACTCGGATTTGACCTCTCCCTACCACCAAGTTGTGATGGGGACAAAAGGATTGCCAATTGGAAACAAATCGATCTGCCAAATTCATTCTCGATTCCATCCAAGCTTTTTTTATAAGGATTGATTATGTCATCTACTATGGATAATACACGCATCCGATATGCGGTGTGACATCAACCATCTTATGATCAATAAGGGATGAGGGCATCGTGGGCCCTTAAAACTTTTGTCAAATGTTTAATATGATCTTTTAACTTTTTTTATTAGATGGCTCGGCAAAAGTGCTGATACGGATGTCAAGTGGTCATTAAGCACAACGACGGCATTCTGACAATAGTGTCATCTTAGGCGAGCGTCGACCAGCTGTGAACAAAGATGATGGTGCTGACACTCTCCACACACGACTACAGCAATCATCAACAGGAAAAGATTGCAGGTAGGAGAGGGGCAGGGTAGTGGGGCATGCCAGACCATGCTCATCCCTACTTTGCGAGGCCAAAAAGATTTGCTCCATCACCATCGTATCACCCAGGCTCTCTGTACAGGAGGGAAAGTGGATAACCACTTGGGCAGGTGAAATTCCATGTGAGAGTGTGCCTAATGGAGATGAGAGAGAGAGAGAGAGAGAGAGAGAGAGAGATTCGTTTTAGGGCTTTAGGATCATCATTGTTGGATGGGAATATGAAGTGCGCCTACTTTGTCGGCTGGTGTGGTATCTATGCTGATATCGTGGAAAACATGTTGGCCAAACTCTTTTTGTGATCAATAACTTGATATGGAAGACGTCAAAGATCACATTAGATCCTATCATGAACATTGATCATGAACTCAACGGTACTTTGTTCAGATGAAAGATTTCAAAAATAGTGAACGCAAACCGTAAGGTCGTTTTCCCTTTTCAGCCACTCATGCAACAGTGTCTTCGCACATTTCTAGTTGCGCACATCAATTTCCTCTGCTGAATATCAATAGAATCTTGTTCCTAACACACATAGCGACACCCTTTGGATCAATTCCGAGCTGACGTAGGAAGAAACTTGTCCAAGAATGTGTGTGTGGAAGCAGAAATGGTGGGGGATCCAACCATGAATTCTTTATTTAATATGTGAATGAGCTGCACCTACCTAAACTTCTCGATGGATCGCTTATGGCGACATTGCGAGCAATTGTGTGGTCGGCGTGAATTAGACACCTAATGCTACATCCGAAGGCAAAGGGAAATTTCAGCTACAAGTCTAGCTAGAAAAGCTAAAGATCCTTCTTGAGGTTCCGGACTTCAATTCTTTCACCATTATTGACCATCGCTTACCTTGGATCTGAGGTCGGTGATCGTGGCCTCCATTAATGGTTGACCGATAATGTCTCAAACCGAGGTTGTGGACCTCCATCGGCATTGAGGTGGAGGTTGACGACCTTGAATTTGATGTTGCGCCATCGAATCACAGAGCGTTTATATTAGAGAGATAGGGGGAATAGAAAGTATTAAAGCTAAAGAGCATTATGGAAACTAGTGATGGCGGCTCGAGGTACAATGGCAATTTCGGGATGGTGTGGTGGACGGAGGTGGGTGGCCACTCCAACGAGGCGGGCAGCTGCTCTAGGGTGGTGATTGGCACTGTGAACAGAAAGGAAGAGATGTGAGTGAACGATAAACTGTGCTTTTCTGCATTTCTGATGGGAGGAGAACTCTCATTGCTAGGGCTTTTCATAATTGTTACACTTGGATAACTGCTACACTCACGGACAAGATGATATTAAAACTCTCTCTCTCTCTCGATCTCCACCAAAGATAGATGGACGGTAACGGTTGCCTTCGTAGTGAGGTCCATTGTCTTTGACGCGGAGGTAGGTGATCACAACTTCGATCTTGTGTGAGCGAATGGATGAGTGTTTAGATCGCATGTATAGATAGAATATGGGCTATATCAGACTTTTTTTTGGTCAGAAGTGGCTATATCGGAGTTAAAAAGAGCATTTTCGTAGCGGGTGGTGGTGACCAAAGGCACCACGTCGGCACGGTGATTTCGTCTGCGATTTACTGTTTATTTGTAGGCAGTACGCATATATGTATCCCACTAACGAGAGAGGTCTAGTTGGAAGAAGGGATAGTGGGAAACATAGCCGGGATATTTGGGTTGCGTTCGGTCGTCCGGATTTGGATTGGGATATGATAAAATAAGGCGGAATTAGAAATCCTCCGAACATCCTTCGGATTATAGATAATCCCATCATATGTTTGGTGCAGCCTAGGATAGGGTTAAAATTTTTTGAAAATCTTTGAAAATCTACACACAACCGTTAGTGGAGTTCCTCATAGTGTCTCTAGCATTAGGGCATTTCTATAGCTAGATATACCAATTCTAAGAATTTTCTCATATTAGCTCTTCGTTGGGCCAATTTGGAGGATCGAACAATAAACCTTACGGCTCAAAATACAAGAGCAACTTTGTTTATATATACTTTTCGCAAATTGGCAAAACCAAAGTTGAAACAGGTTTTAGCCATTAATAAAACTGCCCATATCTTACAAGAAAGTGACCAAATCCCAAAGTAAACGAGGATGTTATCTTCTTTTGTCGCTAGGATTGTTTCGTTTAGGCTGAGTGGTGTCCCTGCAGGCTTTTGATGAGGGACTTGGACGATGATATTGTCCCAAACACCCCGAGGACGCAGCCGAATCCAATGAGCATCAAGTTCAGAACAAGGAGCGGCTTCGACAGGCTCGGCCAGCATATCTTGGTGTAGAAACCGCAGGGCAAGATCACGCAAATGCAGATGCTGACCAGCGAGCCGGTGAGGCCGAGCACGTACTGGAAGTACGGGACGGAGAGCGCGAGTGACAGGATCACCAGCAGCAGCACGGAGCCCACCGTGCCCCGCACGGCCATCCGCGCAATTGAGCCCATCGACCCGGGGAGGCCGCGGTCTAGCTGGATGGCGAAGGGAGCGAACTCGAGAGCGTACTTGGTCATCGGTGTCAGGACCGTGGCCCACAAGGCGACCTTGGTCATCACAAGGCCGCGCGGCAAGCTGAGGGTGATCTGCGAGCTGACGCCGGGGCCGAACATCTTTGCGCCCATGAAGGCGAGGGCAGTGTACAGGGCCGTGACTAGGGTGAAGCTCACAATCGATACCTACAAATTAACAAATTTCGAAACTTATTAGTAGCTTGTAACAAAAGAAAGTGATGTGTCATCATAAATTACCAGCAAGAAATTGGAAAATTATCCAAAAAGTCATAATTCTATTGTACGGATACCAATTAAGTCCTAAACTTTTTAATTGTGCCAACTTAGTTCTAAATCTTGGACGATTTGCCAATTTAGTTTTAAACCTTTCAATTGTGCCAATTTAATCCTAAATCTTTTTACAATTTGTCAATTTAGTCATTCTAGCCAAATATCTAAATAATAGGTTTAGAACTAAATTGTCACAATTGAAAGGGTTAGAACTAAATTGACAAATCATCAAAAGGTTTAGGATAAAATTGGCACAATTGTCCGACAAAAAATATTGTACAATTAAAAAGTTTAGGATTGAATTGGCCATCGTAGAGTAGATTTAGGACGTTTTTGACAATTATCTCAACAAGCTGTAAGTTCGGTGCAAGTCTTAAACGCTTCACCTATGGGTTAATTGAGTCCTTAAAGTTTAATTTGATCAATGGAGTTTTAAAAGTTTAAAAAAATGTAGTCAAACCTTGACACGTTTGCTAGTTGTACTTATTCCTTATAAGCAAGAGAGCATACCTTGGTGAACATGGAAGGGTCCTTCATGGACTTATACAAGTCAGGGAAGACGATATGCCCAGCATAACCGAACACATAGAGCCCTGAAATCCCGGGGATGTTAAGGATCTGGAGCGCCGGAATCTCATGATCCGACCTGACCCCGCCGAAAATGGCGGTCAGAGCCACTGAGGCGAAGATGATGATCGACATGAGGATGCCCCCGGAAGAGAGGAAAGAGATGGAGGACAGGTTCCTGAGCCAGAGGCTTGGGAGGGCAATAAGCACAGCAATCACGGTCAAGAGCTGAGAGCTGGACATGTGCGCCCACCGGGCACTGATCTGAGTCCCTGAGAAGACGATGCTGAGGTTGTCATGGAGCGAGATGGTGTAGGAGACGAGGGCCATGAAGATCTCCAAGTAGACGAAGGTTGCTGCTATGACCCTGCCTTTGGATCCATAGGCTTGCTGACCAATGTCTGTGTAGCTTCTTGACTTGGGGCTCCTGTCAAGGCATTTCCCAAGCAAGTGGGAGGTGTAGGCACATACTATGCCAAGCCCTACGAGCAGGAATGCAGAGGACCACCCTCCATTCTCCAAGGCATATGGTGTTGATAGCTGTCCCAGCCCTGCCAAGTTTGTCAACTTTTTGTTTGTGAGAACATGAGTGTGTAGCTTTCAAAAAAGCGACAGGACTATGCCCGCTCGAAAGTGCAAGTTTAAACAAAGTTTCTGGACTGCGATTAGCTCTGCCCATCGTATCATTTACAGAACGAGTATGTCCGATTTTTCTTCTAGCTCGCGACGAAAAAATGAAGAATGTATAAGGGCAACCGAAGTTATTCATTTCATAAATAGATTTCAACTAAACACCCATGTTTAAATCTTAACATCGTGCAAACAGGTAGATATTACGAAAGCGGGTTTGGACCACAAACGGTACTTATTAAACAAGTTGACAACTGTGGAGAACAAAGCATCTACAAAGTAGTGTTCGGTTAGCGTCACGTGTGTATTTTCGTAATTATTGAAATAGAAAATAGAATTGACATGGATGATGACGACTTTACACACTGCTTTTGTAATATACTTTCCCTTTTTTCCATCGCCAATACTTCTAATAAAATCTAGTGAAATGGTTTAGGAGACATGGTCTATATCTTAGGGCAAAATTATGTGAACAGCGAGATTATTATATTTTGAAAGTTCAAGCTATAGTGAATGAAGTGATGGAGGAAACTCTCGGCTCTCACCTACGAGCATGCCAACCATGTTGATGACAGCATGAGCAAAAGAGCTGTTGGCCCCTGCATGCTTCTCCTCCTCCGCCTTCAGCTTCGGCTCCGCCGTGCCCGAGTCGCACTCACACCGGCAAACTTTATTCTCCTCCTCCACGCACGACTCGCAGCCAGTCCACGGAGGAGCAGCTAGCTTCGCGCCCTGCACGGACTCGCTGGCGATTTGGCTCTTGCGCGGTAGGCAGCTCTTGATGGATGTCCATAGTTTCGCGTACGTCGCTCGCACGGTCCTCATCGACTTAGACATTCGAATCAAAAGCCTAGAGAATTTACAGCCACCAAACAAGAGATCTCAGGGTATGCAAAGTTTCTATTTTTGGCCTCGCTGATGATAGTACGTGAAAGGGTTTGGTGTATTTATAAGAGGAGGGAGCATACATATGGTAGAGTTAAGTGCCATTTGTGCTAAGAATCAAGCTGTGTAAGAGAGAGAAAGAGAGATTCTGATACAAAGAGAAGTTGCCAACATGAACCAGATGCTTATATTCTGAAATGAAGATCCGCCAAGAGCAGCCAGGATCGGAATTTTTCCTTCTTTTCTTCTTTTCCGCCAAACTTGGATGGGAATTTCCGGGAAGTTTTTTTCACCGAAAGACACTGAACGTTCCCCGAAAGCTGCAATCATCTCCTAAATCTTTGAAAATAATGCATTCAAATCGTAAGCGTTCGGAATGTGACGCAATCAGGTCATTCTCGCGACCGATTACTCGATTTTGCTGACACGGGACACCGAAAATCCCACGTGGCTCTCCTTTAATACTTATTATGAGGATATGCGACGCTGACGTGGCATCATGTTACCATAAAATAATAATAAGTAAAATATAAAGCCAAAAAAATAAAGAAAAGGAAAACAGCATAACAAGGTGGCACTTTTGTTCTTGTTTTTTCATTTTCTATGTTTTTTTTGTTTTTAGTTTTTTAAAATATGTTATGTGGTGCCACATAGGTAAAAAATATTTTAAAAAATGCCATGTTGGTTTTTCGGCGCAAGTCAGCCAATTTAGGTGAGCGATGCTCAAAACAATTTGATTGTACAAGATTCCAATTTTTTGTGACTTGATTATACTTTTTTAATCATTTAGAATTTAATTGTCGTTTGGACCAAAAGCTTTTACACTTTTTCTCGAACGTGTACTGACGTTTTAGGAATTTTGCTTCTCGAGATGCTTTTTCCACCTCTAGTAAAGTTGTCCGATCTGCTAAATGGTTCTTTTATTGACAAATAACCAATAAATACAAGGGATATCAAAGCAAATCTCAGAGTCTAACGTGTTAAGTCCGCCAATAGTCATCCATATATAATTGGATCAACTTTCACTGAAAAGCTTATACCAATCAACTATAGGCTAGTTATGATTATACTAATAGCTCCAAATAGCACCGGGCATGGCAACAATTAAGGGATAATGTTGTCTTTCATAACATCACGAGCTCAAGCCATGTCATCCATGAACCTCCAATCAATCTGTCCCTTAGACATTTGCTAGAGAAAATTACCAAAAAAGTGTTAAAGTTATTGTACGAATGCCAATTTAGTTCTAAACTTGTTAATTTGGCTAATTCAATCTTAAAACCTTTTGCAATTTGCCAATTTTAGTCGGTAATTGCCATGGTCACTGGCCGTCCTACGTCGCACTGCCGGCGCTGATGTGAAAATTCCTTTGCATTTTTTTTATAATTTTTTTCCTTTTTTCCTTTCCTTTTTCTTTTCTTTCTTTTTTTCTTTTTTTTTTCCTTCTTCTTTCGCCGGTCGTGCGGCCTCAGTGATAGCCTACAAGGATCAACCTTGCCAGAGGCCCGAGCATCGACAGAGAAAGAAGAAAAAAAGAAAAAGAAAGAAAAGAAAAGGAAAAAATAAAAATTTTAATGCAAAAATCATCCACGTCAGGACTAATCGGCATCCACATTAGCGATTTCCAATCAAAATTGGCTAGAGGGACTACATTGGCAAATCCTCATAAAGTTTAGTACTAAATTGACATTCGTACAATAGATTTATGACTTTTTTGATAGTTATCCCGCATTTGCTATCTCTCTTTAATGTGCTTCCTAGAATATGACAAGCTCGTACACTGACTGACTTACCGAATAGTTATGATTTGGAGCGAACAATTGGGAGCGGGTAAAAAACCCTAAAATAATATCTAGAGGAGGATAGTAGTGTCGATTGTCTCTCCCCGACCTTTTAACTTATCCAAATACTGTTCCATGCCATATCAATTCCCTCTCCTAACCCCCCTTATTAAGTGCACAACTCAACATAACTCAAGTATCCCAACCTCAATTTGCGAAAATTATCAAAAAAATCCTAAATCTATTATACTTATATCAATTCCGTCATAAACCTTTTAATTGTGTCAGCCTAAATATTTTTATGTTTTGCCAAGTGAGTTCATTTGTCCAATTGTGGCCGGAAATCGTTGATGTGGATACCAACCATCCTACGTGGCGCTGACGTTGACATTTTTAAATAATATTTTAATAAATTTTAGAATTTTTAATAATTTTTTTTTCTTTTCTTCTCTATCCCTTTTCTTTTGGGGCTAAGGGCCGGCAAGGGTCGTTGGCCTGATCCTCACCAACCATAGGCAAGGCCCCGGGACCTTCACCGGCATTGGACGAGGTGCCGCGCCCCCTCGCTTTGGCTAGCGAGGGTCGGCCGACAATCCGTGCCAACCCTTAGCACAAAAAAAAATAATAAAGAGAAGAAAAGAAAAAAAAATCAAAAAATTTATTAAAAAGTTATTTAAAATGTCCCGTCAGCACTGATCACATCACATAGGACGGCCAGTGTTCACGTCAGCAATTCCCGACCAAAATTGACTGAATACACTCAATTGACAAAACATGAATTTAGGACTAAATTAGTACAATTAAAAGTTTTACGATTGAGTTAGCATAAATACAATAGGTTTAGAATTTTTTTGATAATTGTCCCCCTCAATTTACAAAATGAAACATAACAAAGGGTTGGGACTAATGTTCCTATCAATATAGATGCGAAAAAAATTTCGCCTCTAATATAAGAAAAATTACTTTATAAAATCCTAAATTAGTGACCATTTTAAATTTTAATAAACACTCACCATAGTTACTAAATTATTTTTAACCTGAACAAAGTAGTAAAAAGGCGAAAATATTCTACCGAGGAAAAAACTCACTTCTGTACTTTAGAAAATTCCAAACAAATGGAAAATACATATTGAACCTTATTTTCCTATCTGATATGTTATTAAGTACGTCAGAAGATTACCAACTAATTCTGATAATTTCAACATTACCTGTAAAATTGATCATTTTAATATAAGAAAATTTACTTTTTAAAATGCTAAATTAGTGACCATTTTAATTTTCAATAAACACTCTACATAGTTACTAAATTATTTTAAACCTGAACAAAGTGGTCAAAAGGCAAAAATATTCTACCGAGGAAAAAAATCACTTCTGTACTTTAGAAACTTCCAATCAAATGGAAAATCCATATTGAACCTAATTTTCCTATCTGATATGTTATTAAGTACCTCTGAAAATTACCAACTAATTCTGATAATTTCAACATTACCTGTAAAATTGGAGACTTACTACAAACGTGAATATTATTAGTAAATCATAGGAGAAAACTCACTTTCCTTGCTAACCGATGTTTGCAGCAAAACAGGAATTTCAAATCAGAATGTAGACCTATGAATATGCCTGAAACTTGATTAATCATTGAATTTCTCATCCACAGTTTCTGACAGATTCGTGTGATTATAACGCATGGTAAGTGCTATGCTAAATTCTTCATGCATGACCAAATAATGACATGCAAAACATCTCTCTCAAGAACAACTCTTACAAAAATTATAAAGAAAAGGACCATAGGAAACTGTCATGGCTGAAACACCAACAGATGAGCAGATGTAAAACCTGCTTTATAGATGCTGTTTACTTGTCCATGTTCTATTATTCTGTGTTTTTCCTTTTCCCTTTCATTCTTGTGCAGATTTTCTGACTGAGTTCAGTCTTCGCAAAGCTCCTGAGAAAATGCATTCCCGGTATGACAAAATGTTCATCCGTACAGCCATATTAGCCTTTTAATGTGTTGCCGAATTCTTCCAGCAGCCGCTCAACATTTTTCCTTGATGTGAACTTATCGATCTCAAAAGCACTCATCTCATTTCTTAGACCTGCATCGCAAACTTTTCAGTCAATCAATAAGCTTTATTACGTGGAAAATGGGGACTTTTTGACAGTAACTGATATGATGGCGGTATATGTATATAAAGTTGAAGCAAATCAATTCAGACTCGATCTGTCAAGATCAGTGAAGTGTTTCATTGGAGATGTTTGCGAAACAAGTTGATTTTCTGAACCAAGAAGCATCAGATGAAATCAACCGCATTTAAATAGATTCGCACAGGCTTATAACATTTTTTCGCTAAAGAACAAAACAAAAAAAAATGAGTTCCGGGCCAAAGCATAGTCAAGCAGAAGTTTCGTTAGCACTTCAAAGAAGATGAACCTATTTGAACTTAACTAGATCAGTCAAGTCTCTCTAAAGGGATCACTCCAGATCAAGTTTTGAACAGATACACTGAGATTCATATAATCTTTGACCTTATATATAAATGTCTCAATTTCATACGTCCTACATTAACATATTAAATTTTGGCATTGTCAAATTTTCAAAGTCTCTTCTTGGCACCAAAAATTGATATTGAAATCCCTGTGCTTATCTCAAGATCCTAAACAAGACAATAATAGATATATACTAACTGACCTGGTAGTGGCAGAACTTTCAGTGGCAGCTGGGAGGCGTTTGAATTGAAAAAATGCAGAATATTCTTCTTTAGTTCAACAGATTCAGCGGAGACAAGGATTTCCCTCTAAAGAGCACAAAAAGTATTTTAGCAAAATTAACAATAATGGAGATATGCATCAGGATATCAAGAAGAATTTCTCAAATGTGTATATTCTTCTCAACCAAGTGTAATATTTATCATATAGACAACTTGATTCACCTAAAAGTAAGTTAAAATGATGGTCTTGGCTATATCTTCTACATAGGAAGATGAAGATTGAAAAGTAAGACATGTTCTCTCATTATAAGGAAAACCTCTCCTTATGGGAGAATAAGACAACAAATGTGGAATAAGACAAACAAGAAACACAAGCGGATTAAAAATAAAATGAGGCATGAAGAACTGAGACCCGACTCTTATACCATGTTAAATAGCCCGACCTGAAAACTTAATCTATTGGGTCCAATCAGACCAAACGTATGTAAGGCCCAGAGAGACTGTGTAGACTAGCTATATAGAATGATCTAACAGAAGCATAATAACATCTGGAAGGAAATTGTTCACTAAAGGAAACAGTGTATTGTCTACAGAGAAAAGTGTTGATGGTTTCCTCAATATCAAGGATCATAATGACAGTTCTAATAACTCACTGTTTCTACATCCATTCAAGTAGCTCACATT